GTAATGATAGCTTATTAAATTATGAAATATAATAATAATAATAAGTATTTGATTAGGTTAAAGTTGGAAAATTGAGTGAATTGTTTATGAGTAGATAATTAATTATTTTTCACCATTTATTAATTATTTTTTTTTTTTATTATTTCTATGAAAATAAATTTGAATTACACATTTTATAATTTCATAATTAATATTAAGAATTTTTAGGCAGTGCCAACCTTTTTGAGAGGAGGAATAAATAATCATCATTGATTACTACTGTCTCATTTAATGCTGTTTAACTTAGTATTAAGTAAAAATCTTGACACAAGTGAAACCTTTGACATAAGTCAAATCTCTTGATTTATTATTTCATTTCATTCATTGATTGATTGAGTGAATAAGCAAAAAATCACGACCAAGTAGATTATTTAATTGATATTATTGTTACCATTGTTTCCAAAACAAATATATTAGTTCAATGAATCATTAATCATTATTTGGCTAATTTGGCTACTTAAGCAATAAATGAAATATCATTCATATCTTCCACTACTATGTAATAATAATAATAATAAATAATGAAATACTCGGAAAACATTTAGTATTTATTTAACATTTGTGCTCAAGTCAAAGGAATGACTCTTAAAAAGACTAGCTCTTGGTCCACGGATTACAATTGACTTAGTTAACCTAGAGATTTAAATAGTCTTCTCCTTTTACCAGATGGGGCATGGAATAATTTTAAAATGCAATTTCTTCTATAAATGTGAATTTAACTTCATCATCTTTTTCTTCTTTTAAAGTCGAGAAGGTTATTTCTTCATCTTCAACCTCCTCTTCCAAAAAACCTCCAGTGGGAAAAACCTAACTCGGAGGAAAAAAAAATAATATTAAAATGGATGGGTACTATGCGCTGGACGTACATCCAATGCAGTTAGTCATGATATAAAAAAAATTATTTACGTGAAAATTACTAATAAATCTGAAAAATTTAAAGCTACTAGTTATTATTATTAACATATATAAAAGAAAGGTTTCCTGTCGTGTTACTTTCTAAATGTCGTAACCTTTGTGTAGATTTAAATTTTGTGTAATATTTTTTTTTATGTTTCCCTAACAATTTCACCTAAATTTGAATGCACGGGAAACATCCTGTTATAAAGAAGACTTGTTTATTATTTACAAATTGCAATTTGGTCGTGTCACATATTCACGAAAACCGGTTTACGTCGTATGACTGTACAAAGAATGTTTAAATATGTGTTAACAAAAAATGAATTGTTTTTAGAAAATATCGGAAGAAAAATTTTTTTTAAAAACAGTCGAAACCTCCTTGGAAATTTTAATTAGCACTATTGTTATGAAAACAATGACTTTACACTTTGCAAATATCAAAAAAGAACTTCCAGTCTTCTTTTTTTAGATAAAATGAAATTTCTATTATGCTAAATAATGTGTAGTGGGGAAGAAAAAAAACCAATCAATCTAAGATTTGAGAAAACCTCTTATCTCCTATTTACACAGAACCAATCATCTTAAAAAATCCTGAACTCCCAAAAAAATATCTTTGTTACTGTTGTATGTGAAATTGAAATTTGTGAATGGTTTTTGATCTTGTCTAATCGTGAAAAATAAAAAAAAAGAATTAGCTGATTCGTTTTTTTTTAATAACAATAAACAATAAAGATTGATTGTTCAATGATAACAAAAATAAAGATCAATTGTTTTTTTTTATTAAAAATAAAAAAAATAAAGATTAATTGTTTTGTCACAAGAAAGAAATAAATAAGTCTGCCATCTTAACCTTTTGTTTTTTTTTTATGTTTATTAAAAACAACAGATGTTGATGTGATAATGAACAAATTCAGGTTGCCTTTTCTGTTCATTCTGCCATTGTTGATGCTGTCCTCTCCAAGCAGAAGATTAATTTTGAGCTTAACAGGAACCCTGCAAGCAGAACTCAATTACCTATACAGAATGCTTTTGGTCTAACAGTCCACAAGACACAAGGGTTAACCTTGCCAAGTATATATTTGTCTGCCTTGGCCAAAAGATATTTGTTCCTGGACAGGTTTATGTTGCTCTCAGCCATTGTGCCAAATGGGAAGATCTCAGAATTAACTCTCTTTCAAGGGAGGCATTCATGGTTGATCAATTGATGGTTAGGGAGTATGCTTGGCTGAAAGAAATTGCTGCCAAATCATTG